GTTAAAGGGACTATAAATGCACTAAATGCTTCCTCACCATAAGAGACACCATTTCCAAAAAGATCTCTGTAAGGTTAAATAAACTATTTTTAAAAATCAGTGTTTGGAATCTTTTAAAAAAAAAAAAACTTTGTATGTCTATTTTAAGCAGCAGGGAGTCTGTTCCTGCTCAGAAAGGATAGGATATTAGCATTTTCTCACATTCTTCCATCTCATCTCTCCCCAACACTTCACATTGGTAAGCTTTATTAATACTTTTACATTGTCCTACTTTATAGTATTTGGTTCCTGGCCTCTAACCACAGTCCAATAGTTGTTTAAATGGATCCAATGCTGCCCCCATTACTTTTACTGTGTTTTCTCTACTTCTGAATTTAGTGGTTTGTTTTTGTTTTGAGTTCATCTCCTCATTGTTTGGGTTTCATTTTGAAGTATTGGCTTTCACGTTTGTGAATTTCTACCTTGTATACTTATTTTCTCTATATTTTAATAAAATCTTGGCTGAGTATCACATAGGATTGTATTTCTTTTAGAACTTTAGAGGCTTTTTTCTTCATTATCTCTGGCACTGAGAGTAGTGTATGTTTGATAAGCCTTTGTAAGTCCCATATAGTCTCTTCTTTCCCTCTGTCCCCTCCATAGGCTCTGTTCTACCTGCCTGAACTCCTGGAGAATTGTGTATCATTTGCTAGCCCAATCAGGATATTCACTCTGTGCTGAACATTTGCATCACATTTTCCTAAAAGATGGGGTGCTCTTTCAATCTGCAGATTTATTCTTTTTATTTTTTCAGTAAAATTACATTTCTTCGTTTTTGAAAAATGAAGAACCCTTGCTTCCATTTTTTTCTTGGCCATTTGTTTCTGAAGTATGTTGCATTAAGTTATAGCCTTTGCTTTACTAGTTAATGTTAAATACTGGGGCGGTAGAGATGGAAGGGGTGTTTGTTTGCCGGCTTATATTATTTTGGGCTCACTTCATTATCCATCAGTGGTGAGAAATTATGTAGTACATTTCCAAATATCTCTAAAAATCAAAATCACCATTTAAAACAGTTGGAAATTCTGAATTTGGATTTATTTCAGTCTTCTAAGGGGCTTTTATGGAATTTTCTTACTTAATGGACATAACGGTAATTATGCCACCTGTGTCATGCTCAGAAATATAAAATACTCATTCTTGTCCCCATTCTCAATGGGCCTATTTATAACTAGTTTTTGATTGATACCTATCAACTATTTCAATTGATAACAGACTTGTAAGTGAAGATAACCTGAGTTAGAGAATGGGAAAACAGTAATTATGGGGAATACCAGAAGTGATTCTTGACATGACAGGAGCATTTCACAGACTTACATTTTCATAATTAGATTCCGCTTTTCAAGTAGACATAAGTGACTACTGAATCTAAAATGTTCCTTTCCTCTTAACACCACACACCAAGGAACAAAAGGATTCAGAAAGGATGAAGACATATATAAAAGGAACACAGGATTTTGATCTAAATGTTTTTCTCTTTTATACCCTAAAATAAGAATATATGGTGAAAATGTGAATTTTTCTTACTGTTAATGTATCTTACCTGAATGCTATACAAACTCTAGGAAATTCCTTCATAATAACTGTTCCAACATTATCTAAACAGCTCTGCTGTCCAACGTGTTAAGCAACATGCCTGGCAACAGGAGAGCACCCCTAATCCTGCCAGCTCCTGCCGAGTGACCTAAGGCGGTATTTGTACATGCTTCAGTTTCTGCCACGCTTATCACTTATACTGGCCCACACAAGCCACAAAAGTAGAGATGTATTTGGCAAACTGTGTCACTCATATTGAATTCCAAGATTTAATATTATAGAACTATAAATTAAAAAAATACTAGTAGACTACATTATAGAACCTAGTTCTACCTAAGATGTCTAGCCTGGCTGGATCAATATTAGGAAAGCATACACCCACATAAAAGACTTGCAATCCAATAGTCTATAAAGCATTCTTAATAAAAATCATCTATATTAATGTATAAAACCCAATATAACTCACACAAGAAATGGAAACTCTACAGCAACGGCAGTTATACAATAAAACCAAGCTTTTTAAATAATCTCAAGAAATCTTCCATCAGGATTTCACTGTTCAATCACAAACTCTCTAACTTCTTTTCTTTTGATTATTACATAATTAGATATTTCACAGAAAACACACACACACAAACACGCACACGCACATTAGCTGCCCTAAGCTACAGTTAACAATAAAGAAAGGACTTAATACTCATCAGATCAAGATAACCAAAGAAATAGTTGATTTATAAGATAACTAAAGCAAATTAATTTTCAAAACAAAAAAAATAATTTCCCCATGTGACCTACAAGCTAACTTACTGGCTTGTTCTGCAAGATAGAGCATAGTATTAGAAGAGCCAGGATCCCAGTTTTATTCACTAAAAATAGTAATAATAATAGTGAGTATGTATACTGTAAAGACGTTGCTACATTTAAACTGCACAAGAATGCTAAAAGGTAAACAGGAGGACATCATTTTTATTCAGTTTGAAGATGAGTAAAAAACCAGTCGCACAATTGGCCAGTATCAGAGTTCATGCCAGAACACAGAGATCTTGACTCCTAGAATGGTGCTCTCTTTGCCACTCTGCACTATTGTCATGCATCTTTTCTCCTTTCAGATCCAAAGACTCTATCCACTTCTAAGCCTATGAACCACATCCAGGCCACTGGTCCAGAAGGGAGCTGAACAAGATTTATAGCTAAATTAAGACAAACATCTCCCTAATTTAGCAGTTAACTCAAAGGACAAACTCTACTGCTGATGGTTTAACAGCATCATCATCCATCTCCTAGCCCCACTGCAGCGGACCTCAGTTTGCTGAAGGTTACAATAGCTGGGGAGATTTTAAAAAAACCCAAGTCCATGCTGTCCCCATACCAACTAAATCAGAAATTCTGAGAGTGGAATCCAGGCATCTTACTTTGTAAAATGCTCCTGGTGACTCCTAAGTTTGTGAACCAGTACGTCACAAAAAATGCACAGTAAAAACTAGGTGAATTAAATTTAAGAAAATATGTGAAACAAAATCAAACATTACATGACATAGTAGGAAGGAAGCAATTGTTTTTATGTTTCAAGTTCAAAAAATAAATAGAACTTAAGTTTCCTTATTTATACCAGAAAGGTTTGGGAGTTGATGTCAACTTACATCACCTTTCGTTTAATACCTAGTGCTTAAATGTTGCCTCCTGTAGAAGTGGCAATAGCAGTATCATGGATAGTCTGAAGCACTTCCCTGTTTGAAAATCTTGTTGCTTTGTATAAAATGTCCAGAAAATGACAATCTCAACTGAAACAGGAGTAAAGTTGTGTGTGATTATCAAAGACGTGGAGAAACAGCAAAGCTTGCAAACACCTGTAGCCAGCCTCAGCTCAGCAGACAGTTACTACTTGGAAGGCATCTATGTTTCTACCATAGGAAAGAAATATCAAACTTGTCACACAGAGGAAAGGACTGAAAGCATAAAGCATAGTACTCAAAATATACCTAAAATAGTTATTTTCAAAAAGTTCATATTTTATAAAGAAAGTGCCAAGTGACCAGTTTCATTAGAGACATACCTGCTAACCCCTCCCTAAGGCCTTGCCAGCTTTGCAGCCACAATAATAAACTGTACTGAAATCCTACTATGTTTGTTTCCATTAAGCAGACACTACTCATTAATACAATTCCTATCACTTCAGTGTACAAACACCAAATTGTACAAAATTGGTATTTGATTCTGATTCCATGAAAAGATTGGATCAACAGAAGGATCTTAAAACCATCATAACTAACCGAGGTTTTAGAAAAACTAGGAAAACATAGATCCCCAGATGGGAAGGTGTATCAACACCAAAACAGACATCATGCCAACCTGTGGAATATTTCTTTCACACCTAGCTCTAGTAAGTAAATGTTAATCTATGCTGCATTCTTATCATGGATATCTAGTCAGTGATCTATAATTACAATTAAGCCCACACGGTAACTTAGAAGATCAATGTGAGAACTTTAAGCCAATTCACATTGAAGCATTCAGAAGGGGACAGAAACAAAGAGTCTCCAAAGCTTTATGAACTGGCTATAGGAAATAAATATGAAAAGCAATAATTATAAGCAAGTGATATTGCCTAAAGATTATGCTCTTTCAACAAATATAAACTGATAAAGCTGACAAGCTCCATCTCCCATCAACTCGTCTTCTTGAGGGTACAAGCACATACATAGAGAAACTACAAACTGGAATCTGTCACTGTTATCCTTTAAAATGTTGCACCTGCTTTTAAAAACACATTTATATGTGTGTTATGCCATCGCATCTGCCCGACAATGCTAGACTTCTCAAATGTTCTTGGAGAAAATTAAAAATAAGCATCTGCTAATAATAATTTTATTTCATCCTAAACAGTTTCATTTTGAGCTGATGAGAAACAGCCACATTATAGAAAAAAATAAAACTACCTTTACAACTCCGCAGCAAACACATTTCAGAAGGTAGGTCTATAAATAGATGTGCTTCTGTATGCACACTGTAAATATAAAATTATCAGGCTAGCCGAGGCTGCAATTTTAACTGAAGCCACAATACGAACTTACCTGATTTTTAATGTCCTATTTGAATAGGCTCCCAATCAGTACAGATCTCCTTTTTCTAGTTGCATAGTAAGGCAAAACACTCCCAACTACATTTTACTTATCTAAGTCTCATCTTTCATCAGAAGCAATAGTTTGCAATTTCATTCAGAAGCAGCCGTCTCTAAACAGTCTCTGAATATGCACAGAAACAGCAATGGAAGGGATCTAAGTTAAACCCCACAGACGCACCAAGAAAATAGCAACATCAACACGAAAAAGCAGCAATTCCTTAAGAGAGGTGCTTTTCTTAGCTGCATTTCCCAAGCCAGCCCCCTTTCAAAGATAAAACGTCTCTGTTATGAAAGAGGATCTTACCTGAGTTGATCATACTGTGCATTCTTTGCTGAGCCAAGAGCTGTTCTCGTCCAGCCACCCCATCTGAGGAAAAACAGGAGTCACTCTCGTAAATTGTCTGCAGCATATTCCAATCACTCTTACTTCAGCTACATGAAAGATTCATCACTGCTCGGTGCACCGGCCCCAGGAGCTACCCTCGCTGGTCCTCCCTCCTCCCCAAGGAAAAGCAGCAAAGGATCAACTTCAACAATGATTTCCTTATGGCTCAGATGGACATACACTTTGTAAAAGACCTGGACACTTTCCCCACGTTACCAACCTGTGTGCAAAGCAGAAAGGACAGAGTGGATGCTATAGCTCTCTGGAGTTTAGGTTATCCCGGAAACTAAAAGCAGGTGGGAAAGAGGAATGTGCTTCGGGGTTATTTCTTTGTCAGAATAAGTAGAAAAATATTAACTCTACCCACGAGAAAAAGAAACCAATTAAACCTGACAGAGTTCTTCAGGCTGCCCGGGTTTCCTTGCAAAAACCCTCAGTCCTGCAAGTGGCTCCAGCCAGTGCCCTTCTCCTATCTGTTTGTGTGTCTCTCTTCTCCCTTTCTCAGTCTCTCTCAGCTCAAGTTGGCTAAAGCTAGTGATAATCCATTTGCATATGAATCAACAACAGCATGGCCCACAGGCACAGAAATAGAACAATGGTCGGCCTGAGCCAAAAATAGGTCAAGCATGGCCGAGTGATTGGAGCCTGCATTAATGCATTTAAAAATACCCCAGCAAACCCAGCTGTCCAGCCTCTATCTTTCAAACCATAATTCTCTATTGCAGGGCCTTAAAAGCAATTAACTCTTTCCTCCCTCCAAGCTGGCTTTACACATTGTGTTTCCACACTGGCGATTCGCTTCTAAAGAAAGGAAGGCAAGAAAAATTTAAGAATCATAATTCTAAGAGGGCAAATGCACATATATTTTATTTCATTTTATTTTTGTAGTATGTGTTTTTGGAAGAGAGAGGAGAGAAGTACAGAGCTCTGTATTGGTTCTAAAATAATACTGGAAGCTTTTGCTCATAATGTGGTTTCTGCCTCACCCACGCACAGCAATCCTGGTGTTCTATTTTTGTTGCCGGTTTCTCAGGCTACACTGCAGTTGGCTGTAGCACTAGAAGCTTTTCTGCCTTCTAGTTTCAGGACTAACAAGAGATTTAGTTGAGGTAGTTTCAGAAAACAAGCACACCCCAAGATAAAATTTTTATGAAAGACAGGCTTAATTTTTCACTTGTTATTTATGTAAGACAATTGTCCATTTCACAAACCCTATTGTGATCTTAGTGCCACTATGAATTTTATTGCATCAAGTTACTACTATATCTACAAAAACAAAACAAAAGAAAAAACATAAAACCATGGCTTACATCTGAAAATTTTCCCTCTCTTTCAGCCTCTCAGGCTAAATCCAATTTACTTGCAAAAAGAAAAGAAAACAGTGCTAGTTTCTTATGGATACAGAATTACTGAATATGTGCACCTGTTGATCAATAAATCAACACGGTCAGTACCCAACTATGAATGTTTTGCATTCATCTATACATTGGTTGCCTGAAATACAGCCCTCTGCACTTTTCTACAGAAATAGCCTTTATAATAGTTGACATAGTTGACAGATTCCCAGACACAGCGAAGCATTCACCTATATAGCAAATGAGCTACCGTAAACAGTATAGGAGTTCAGTAGTCTCTGGTGTACATGTATAACATCATTTCCAAATGAGAAATAAATTCTGCATCCCCAAATGGGATGCTAGCATCTAGTCACTTCCAAATACAAACTCAAAGGTGGTAATACATTGGTTATGGAAGCTTTTCTCCTTTTTCTAAACTATATCAGCAAGGAAAATATAATTCCTAAGGTATCAGGAGCAACAGGGAAAGACTAGGGAAAAGCAGATTGTTTCAAGGTTCCCAGAACTATCAGATGGAGGACAGATCTTGGTCAATCCCAGAGTATGGGGTCAGGAGAGGCAAACAAGGCAACCAACTAATTTCTATTGAATACCCTACTTCTTGAAAACTCATGTGGACAAGTAAGTTAAAAGATTTTAAAAAGTAGTTATTCCAAATTGCATTTGATTTCAATTAAACAACAAAATCTTACTTTCCTGTCAGTAGAAAAACTACTTGATTGCATCTGATACTACAAAAGACCTTTTTTTTTTTCTTTTGAGACAGAGTCTCACTATGTTGCCCAAGATAGAGTGCCATGGCTGTCAGCCTAGCTCACGGCAACCTCAAACTCAATGGATCCTCCTGCCTCAGCCTCCCGAGTGGCTGGGACTATAGACGTGTGCCACCATGCCCAGCTAACTTTTTCTATGTATTTTTAGTTGTCCAGCTAATTTCTTTCTTTCTTTTTTTTTTTTTTTCAGTAGAGACAGGGTCTCGCTCTTGCTCGGGCTGGTCTCAAACTCCTGTGCTCCAATAATCCTCTGGTCTTGGCTTCCCATAGTGCTAGGATTACAGGCATGAGCCACCACACCTGGCCACAAATGAACTTTTGATTAGAAAATTTGTGTGTAAAATTCAAGGGATAGAAATAGTGTGAATCTAACAATTTTCCTTGAGGATGATGTGTTTATGTAGGAATCACCCATTGAATTTTAGACTTGGAAGTAAATTTAAAGATTGTCCACAATGGGATTCAAACTCTGCCTCAGAACACTAGGGGAGCTGTCTGGGAATTACCTCAGTTTCCTCCAGGAAAAGTTCTCCCCCTAATCAGGGAGGCCCCACTATTACCTGTTTACATTTGGGGATGTAAGATTTTTTTTGACCAACTTTTTTTATTCTGCTAAACATTTATTTAAAGAACATGTTTTAAATTGAGCTATATTTGAAAAATCAAGATTGTATATACTTAAGGTATACAATTTGATGATTTGATATACATATACATTATAAAATAATCACCACAATCAAGCTACTTATCCATCACCTTAGATAGTTATGATTTTTGGGAGGGGATGGTGAGATGAAAACAATGACTTCTTATATTAAGAAAAAAAATTATTGAAATCCACTCATCCAGTCCAAACTAGCTTTCAATTTTACATATAGGGAAACTAAAGAGACTTCCTAAAAATTACAAAGATTACAAAATTACTCACCAGTGGAGTCAGGCCTTAAAGAGACTTGCTTCAGGTAACGCAGGTAATTAATAACTAACCAAGTAGGTCTAGCATTCATGTTCTCCAGACCCACTATCCTGTCCCTTACCAAAATGATGCCAATCATTATCCATGATATTCAGAATAAAATTTAATATGATCTACTGACTAAAAATGGAACCACTGTCTAATTGTTTCCGAGTAGTTTTTAACAGAATATACAAGAATCATGATTAACATATGAGGGATAACAAAAATCACAATATTGATATCATATGCCTACACATCTTTTGTTATTTTAAGTTTAAATTATACCCTCAAACCACAATTGATAAAAAGGGTCTCCAAGCTTTTATAATCACAAACAAAAAATATAATAAAACCCTGGAAGAGTGAGTTAGTAATTATCCTATTTCTCAGAGGTTCCAGGAAAGGGCATTCCACAGAAAATGGTATAAATAATGTGTCCTCTTCATTTTGACCAAGTTATTTAAACATGAAGTTTATTTACATTTCATCCCTGCATTCTTGCAGCACTTCTTTTCCATTAGCAGTGTTCTCTTTCATTTAACTCTTGGAAATGAAAAATTATTTTAGAATGAAAAGACATTAGATACATCATAAAATAGATTCCATTTGTTTCTGTGAAGAAAAACAAGCATCATCAAAATAACCACCAGGTATATGGATTATCCAAGAGCTTAAATATTAAGAATGTTGAATGAATTCTTCTCATATCATCTTAATAATGTTAGTAAAGAAAGGTGTCTAGGCTTCTTTTGGGGTGTTTACAAAACCAAATTTTACTATTAGTAATTTGGAGAAAAATATATTTTCTATTATTATAGGAGAACCCTAACAAACTAATACACACGTCAGGCTAGAACAGATGAGTAGTTTTCAAGATATCTATACAAAATAAATTCTAATTCAATGTAATAAGCATGTTTGGAAATTGATCGAAATATTATACTTTACATGCATAAAAATCAAAGAAAAAGTGGAAAAGAATACAAACAAACAAACAAAAAAACCACCAAACACCCAGGTTCCCAATGTAATAGAAAATGGAAGTGGGAATCAAATTCTAATGCAAAATGTTATTCAAAAGTTATTACAAAAAAACCCAAAAGTTATTATAACTCCAATTCTCTTCATGCAGGTATATAGGCAAAACCAACAAAAGGTTTAAAAATCTATATGGCACCAAAATATTTCCAGAAATAACCTTAGACCTCGAGCACACAATGATCTTTACTAAAATAGGTTGGGATCATAATCCCAAAAGACACAATGCCGAAATGAATGCCAGTATCTCTCATGTCTAAAATCCCAAAAATCACAATCATGAAAGATTAAAATCATGAACGTTGAAATCCCAAAAGGCAAATTCTGGGGAAAGAATTAGTGTGTTTTCAGCTATATGCAAGGCAGGACAGTTACATCATGTTAGTTGCATCATGTTAGGTGATTATTATTGTCTTTATTTGGAAATTAAGCGTGGTTTGAGGAGATGCATTATGGGTGCCAAGTTGATCAAGGGTGTACTTGTGGACTTAATTTTAGATGTCAACTTGACTAAATGAAGGAATTCCTAGAAACCTGGTAAAGCATTATTTTGGGTGTGTCTGTGAGAGTGTTTTCAGAGGAGATTATTGTATGGATCTGAGGGGCCTAGGTGAGAAAGATCTGCCCTCAATGTTGGCAGGCACCATGCAATTGGTCAGGGGCCCAGAGAGAACAAATAAAGAAGGCAAATCGGTCTCTCTGTGAACTGGGACAAACTTTTCTTCTGCTGAAGTCAAATTTCTGGACTTCAGAAATTTGACTCCAGGAAAAGTGCATTATCACAACATTGACTTTGTGTTATAGGCATTGTGTGGCTGTGAACCATCGCTGTTTTTGACTGATCGTGTCAAAAGA